GTATGTGTTTGTGAGAGAGGGGGGTGTTAGGTTTTTGGGTGCTGCCTCACCTGGAGCAGATAAGGACAGCATCAGAGTCACTCTGTCACCGAACTCAGGCACAACTCTGCAAGCTGGCTCACACTGCTGGCTGGCCTGCTGCTCTCCAACTATGAGGAAGAGATGCACGATGGGGTCCTTTCCTGCTCAGACTTTGGCTCAGCTGATGCTGATTGACAGGGAGTTACCCAGGGAGGCCTCCCATTGCTCACCTGTGCAGGCCTCCTTAGCTGCAGCTGAGCCTGCCCTTCCCTGGCCCCTGAAGGTGCAGTGTGGCCTTCCAAGGCAGGGGCCTGGGAGGGGGTACTGGGAACCCACGTTTCAATATTGTGTTCTTCCCTATACCTTTAGTAAGCTTTTGGCATGAAAAGTCCAGAGCCCTTAAAATTATTCTTTTCCCAGACCTTGAATGTGAGAATGAAGAGTTCAGATCCCACATGACCTGCCTCAGTGTCTTGCCCCTGACTCCCTGGGAAGGTCCCAGGGAAAGTCTGCACACGGGGGAGGTTTTGTTTCACTTGATCTTCTCCACAGCTCCCGACTATGACCAAAGCCAGTGGCTGAATGAGAAATTCAAGCTGGGCCTGGACTTCCGAAACGCACATGCAGAGGATGGGGTGTTGGAGGGAGCAGGGTCATGAATGATGTCTCTGCCTCCACATCCTTCCCATGGTTAGAGGGTTCAGCATCAGGACCTTGTGCTCAGTCAATATCATTTCTGGCTGTCTGTGCTGCCTTTCATGAGGTTGTGTGTCCCAATTCACTCATCCTTGTACATCACGTTTATCCAGGCCTGCCATGGGCCAGGCACAGAGGGTGCCAGGTCTCCTGTGTGCCCTTGCTCAGAGAAAGGGGTGCTGGGCATGGGGCTGTGGCTGTGGCCATCCATGGACTTGGCTGGGGTGGGATGTTTAGGTCTCTGTTGTATGGGCTGCACATAGGGACACAGAACAGAAGATCCAGGTGTGCAATTTTAAAAAAAATTATTTTTATTGAAAAGGCAGATATAGGGAGATACAGGGAGAAAGATCTGTTGGTTTACTCCTCAAGTGGCCACAATGGCCAGAGCTGAGCTAATCCAAAGTCAAGAGCCAGAACTTTCCTCCATGTCTGCTACATGGGTGCAGGATCCCAAGGCTTTGGGGGCATTTTCTGCTGCTCTCCCAGACCATAGGCAGGGAGCTGGATGGGAAGTGGAAGCTTCAGGGACTCTTCATCCCTGTATGACACCTGAAATAAGCTCAAAGCTAAGCTTAAGACTTTGCAGCTCAGGCCGTGCAGCCATTTGGGGAGTGAACCAGCAGGTAGACCAGTTCTCTGCTCTCTACATTTTGTAACTCTGCCTTCCAAATAAAAAATAAACAAATCTTAATAAAAAGAAAAGAAAGAAGAGAAAAGAAAAGGGAAAAAAGAAAAGAAAAGAAAAGAAAAGAAAAGAAAAGAAAAGAAAAGAAAAGAAAAGAAAAGAAAAATAACTGAAGGCCCAGCCAATGGGGGAAGGGGCAAGGAGAGCAGGGAGAGAAGGCACATGTGGTACAGTCTGGATATGGGGGACATAATGAGCTCCCCTCATTGCTACTTGTCTGTCACCCAGGACCAATGTGTCTGATAAAAGCCTAGTTTGTCACCATCTGGGCTTTAGTTTGAGGCTTTGGTCCTGGGTTTTCAGTCTAGAGACTTTCCTATCGTTCTCAACTCCTTCTCAGCTCTGGCTCAAGTCCTGACTTGGAGATTTAAGAAGAGCCAGCCCCACTGTGGGAGAGAGAGGAGCTGGGGATTGCTATCCTGAGGCTGTAGGGGCAGGTGGCCCTGGGTCTCTTGGAATCCTTTGTCCACAACCTGGACCCTCTCTCTCCTGCTCAGAAGCTGCACAAAGCACAGCTGAGTGTTGTCCAGCCTGGGGGCTGGGAGCTGGGCTGGAGGGGAGATAGGTTAGAGACAGTGAGATGGGGCTCAGGCACCAGGTGCAGAAGGTAGCGCTTCCTGCTCTCAGGGGGACTAATTAGGACCTAGCTGGCCCTCCTTGCCTGTCTTACCTCATGGTGTCTGAGTTCATTCGGTTTTTCAGAGTCACTGTGTTATGGGCACACACACAGGTAGTTAGGGGAGGTGCTAAGATCTGGCAGCTCAGCTGAACCCTTTGAAGGTATAGGGGTCTGTGATGGACAGCCCCTGCCAAACCGCCGAGGACTGCTGGACCACGGAGGTCCTTGATGGGCATCTCTGGACATGCAGGTTTCAAAGGCCACAGCGTGAGATGTAGCAATGGAAGGGGAACAGATGTGAAGCAGAGTTGTAAGGCAATCAGAGCAGGACAGAGAGGAGAGACAAATTCCTGGCCAGAGAAGTTTATTTATTTTTTTAAATTAAATGTATTTATTTTTAAATGTCTGCTACATAGGTGAGGAGGCCGCAGACCCATGCAGATCTCTGGGTAGGATGTTACTTGTGTAGCCTCGATTGTTCTGAGATGGTGTTGGCTTCTCGCCTCCAGGTGTGAGAAACCACTTGATTCTTTCCGAATGGCAGTCTATGTCTATTTCAGTATGTCCTTGTCCTTGGATGCTTGGTGGAAAATTTGGCCCAGAGTGTTGTTCAACCAGCAGAGCAGGTTTATTAAAAAGGGAAAATAGACCTGAGCGGGGCTAGCTAACAGCATGCACACACACATGCGGCAGAGTCAGTTAGGGGTGGGGTTTATATAGCACAAGCCAGCAGAGTGCCAGGAGGACAAGGGCAGTGCTGCCCTGGCTTATACCAGCTATCGCACTTTGCCTCTCCTCTGGGGTCAAGGCTCTGGAGAGTTGAGCTGGGTGAAGGAAAAGCACAAGATAGGGGGAATTTCGGGTGTTTTTGAAGGTGACTGCAGAACAGCATCTCAGCTGGGCGGAATTCAAGTGTTCATATTTATATATATGATTTTTATTGGAAAGATAGATTTACAGAAGGACAGAGATAGAAAGGTCTTTTGTCTGCTGGTTCACTTCCCAAGTAGCAGCAACGTCTGGAGGTGAGTAATGCATAGTCAGAAACCAGTAACTTTTTGTAGGTCTCCCACACAGGTGCAGGATCCCAAGGCTTCAGGCCATCTTCTGCTGCTTTCCCAGGCCATAAGCAAGAGTTGGATGGGAAGTGGAGCAGCTGGGACAAAAATCTTATCCTGTGCCTCTTGCAGGTTTCATGCCATCACCCACCTGCTGGGCAGACCACTTGCTCAACCTGTGCATGTCCCAGTAATGCAGTGTCATTGACACGATGCTGCTGGTGTTCAGGGTCTGCTGCCCAAGTCTCTGGATCTCCATAAGCCTAGCCTGGAAGTTGGTTTGAGTGCTCAGTGAGGGCAGAGGCAGCCTAGCCTGGAAGTTGGTTTGAGTGCTCAGTGAGGGCAGAGGCAGCCTAGCCTGGAAGTTGGTTTGAGTGCTCAGTGAGGGCAGAGGCAGCGTTGTTGATGGGCCCACCCCTCTGTGCCTCTCCTGCTCACGTCTCCTCAGTTCCATGGAGAGTGGTGCTGGGCTCAACCTTCAGGGAGCAGGAAAATCGAAGTTAACTCCCAGCCCACTAGGGACCCCAGAAGATGGAGGATGCCCCGACAGGGTGCAATGGGAACAAAGAAGAGGCTCTGTGTTGGTCTTTAAGTTATTTGGGGTAACAGCCCTCGGATCCTCTGACTGAAGCCTTATGGTCATTCACCAGTGTTTTGAGCCAGCTGGTGAATCTCCAGCAAGTGCATCTTGCAAGGAGGCAGCATGGCTGAGGTGCCCCTCACAAATTTCTCATTGTCAGATAGGTGACCACCTTGACCAAGACAATGACCTTGAGGGCAATGTCCAGGAGGATGTGAAGGAAAGCGGGAGAGCCTCTTTGGGGCAGGAGCAGAGCCCTGTCTTTAAAGGTTCTGATGAGACGTGAGCAAGACATCCCTGAGAGGGGAGAGGGGCAGAAGGGGCAGAAGGGGAGGGGTCCAGCCCTTCCTGAGAACCCAGATGAAACCCCAGGCTGCTCCACTCAGCCAGCAACATCAAGACGCTGGGTTACTAGAACATTCTCTGGGGGAACAAAGGATCTGCTTGGAGGGCTGGCGGGGGCAGATCTGAGCAGCTGTTGTTCCTCAGCCTCCCTAGGTCTCTCCGAGCCGGCCTAGCAGTGGGGACAGCAGTGGTTGTGGAAATTACCAAGTGGGTTGTTCTTTCTCTAACCTCTTCCCCCTCACATCCCCCTAAGCTGGCTCAAGGCATCAGCCTGCTCCTGGAACACACAGACACCAGCTATGAGGACACTCCATGGGGTCTGTAATGCTCCTGCCTGCACTGACCTCTGCCCTAATGCTGAGTGACATCTGAGTCTGCCCCTACCCTTGGCCTTGAGTGGTGGAGTTATCATCCCAAGACAGGGGGCTAGAAGAGATTTTTTGGGCACTGGTGTGTCTGTGATTGGGTTGGGAACTTGCTTAGATATTCACACATGTTTTTGAACCATTAGCATGCAAGGTTCAGAGCCTGTACATCATTCTGTTCCTCAGACTTTGAATGTGAGATGAGGGTTCAGATCCCACATGCCCTGCCTTGGGGTCTTACCCCTGACTCCCTGGGAGGGTCCCAGGGAAGAAGCTACACATTGGGAGGTTTTGTTTCACTTGGTCTTCTCCACAGCTCTGAACTGTGACCAAAGCCTGTGGCTGAATGAGAAATTCAAGCTGGACCTGGACTTCCCCAATGTTCGTGCAGGAGGGGTTAGGGACTGGTATGTATGTGAGTGTGTGGGGATGCCTGTCTCACTCTTTCCCTCCAAGCATTTATTATAAATAAACACACTAGCGCTGGAAATTTTTCCACATTTCCAAACTTCCTGGATAGCTACTATATGACAAGCACCCTGACACATGTCACAGGAAAGACATGGAGGGATTCTCTTCTTTATGATTCAAGATTCATTTGGTGTAAAAAACATAGGTAAAACAACAATTACAATACAGTGGGTTTTTTTTTATTATAAAACAATCTGAAAAAAAAGACAATGAATATGCATAACAGGAAGGCCATCTGGGGAAGGGTCTCAGCAGGGGTGGACCCATGGACAGCCACCTCTTTCCATCAGCCCAGCAGCTCACAGAACCAGGGCCCAGCTGCAGGGGTGCTTGAGCTCTGGCACCATACTGCAGGAATGAGGACCCAGGCAGAAGGAGGGAACCAAAGAGAAGAACAGAGCAACATGGACAGCACTGAGAAATGACACCAAGGAACCCCAGCGGACCAGACACACCCACAGCACCCTGCTCTGCTAGGCACTGCTGTGGCCACAAAAAAAAAAAAAAAAGAAAATACCCAAACTCCAGCAAGACCAGTGCCAAGTCAGGGCTCCCAGGAGAAGAGGACAGGCGGGCTGAGATTCAAGCTTCCTGGGGAACAGGCAGTGCCAGGGAGATTTTGCTGTGGAACAGGGCCAGCACAGGCCCAGAGACCTCTCTGGCATCTGAGGAACTCAGGGACATTCAGGGCCCCTCATGGCAGAGACAGGGCCATGGGGTTGGCCTTAGTGCAGGAGGAAAAGCCCAGGGGCTGAGGATGAAGAGGGCAGAGCTGAGGCTGGCCAGGGCTTCTATGGGAAGGGCTGCCTTAGAGGACAGGGGGCAGCAGGCTGGGGAGGTGGGAGGAGGGAGAGGAATGAGTAGGCTGAGGCAGGGCTGAGCTTCCGACAGCCCTCCCACCTCATTCCAGAGTCTTATTTTCCTGTCCAGGAGGCCAGCTTTAAATACATAGGCACTGGGAGGAAGCGGCTGGACTTCATGTAGGCAGCCATCTTCGGCAGGCCCTGCAGGGGCAGAAACAGGAGCAGAGCTCAGAATCTGTGGTTCTCCTGGGATTCCTGCAGCCCCAGTGTAGGCACAGGCAAGCGGGACCAACAGCGGCCACTGCACAGGGCTGTGGTGGCTGCACTGACATCTCCATAGGACCATAGCCAAGGGGAGTTCACTATTCATCACAGACACCTCCCTCCACACCTCATATGATGGATCAGCAGGGAGACACTAAAGCTGGGTGCTATGTAGCCAAGGGCAATGTCAGTGCTGGTTCAGAGGCCATTCTACCCCCAGCATGATCCACTTTTGGCTACCATGTCTCAAGGGGAGCCTGATGGTCACAGCCTTGCACCAGTGTGTGATACACCTATCATGAACTTTCTCAGTCAAAGACTGAGCAGGCAGAGTATGACACATGCTGCCGCTGTCCCTCTCCAAAATGTTCTCCTCTCTGCCCTACCCACAAAGGCCCTGGCACTCCTGTCTGCACACTCCCTTATTCACAATGAGGCTGACCCCTCCCGGCATTGCACACACAGCAGGGATGTCAACCAGGACTAAGGGGCTGAGATCATGCCAGGGCGGCAAGAAGAGCCACCCAGACCTCACCCAGTGACTCAGCAGGCCCTCATTGTGGGACAGCAGGAGGTAAATCAGCAAAGAAAAGCGAGGCCAGGCTCCAATCCTTCCCCTGACACAGGAAGTCCTAATTCTTCCACTTGGTATCTGAGCCTAACCTTACTCCCCTTCTCCTGAGTCCTGCCACAGTGAGCAGTACTGAGCACACTCCTGGGCCATGCACCTACACGCCAGGACTGACAGTGTCCACAAGGGTTCTCAAGAATTCAGGGGGACCCAAAGTGTTCTGAGCCTAACAGGCCTGGCCGGGGGGGTGGGGTGGGGGGCGGGTTGCTGCGCAATCCAGCACATAGATTTTATCTGGTCCCTATCCCCAGCACACAGAGCTCAACAACTGTTGCATAATCCCCAAGGCCACGGTCCTGTTCCTCACCCAGAGCTGATGAGAATGAGCTGAGCAGGCACATCTTTCCATGGGAGGGGAACAGGACATGGATCATAGAACGAATAATCTGTTGGTCTAATACCTCAAACACTCAGATCTGTGATAAAAGCTTTTGTGGCAAACAAGATGTCCCTTGGTGACAATGTAACCCTGAGAGGTGAGGCCTATGCTGTTCTCCTCAGACCTATGCTGTGTTACTCTCCCCAACCCGCTGTGCCTGCATTCTCAAACTGGCCTCAGTTCCAGTGTGAAGTTACATTTGTAGGTACATAAAATTAAATATCAACGACCTGCCTCAGGTCACAGCCAGAACATGTGCAACACTGGAATGAGGAAACAGAGTGAAAGAAAGTTTTCCCCACCAACTCTTCATGACAAGAACCTGCACCAGGGGCTGCCTATGACCACTGAGATCCAGCACCAATACATCTGGGGGCTCAGTGCTTCCACATGAGGATCTCATTAGTTCAATTCAAGATCAAGTACATGGAGTTCTGTGTCTCTGACACTGAAGATCAATTCTAACACATCTCACCCCCTGATGCCCGCCACAAATAGAGGCCTCTCCTACAGTCTCCATTGGTGGGAGACAGGACAAAGGCCTGAGGCTGCTCCTTGTAGCACAAAATTCAGAGAAGCCTTACTGCTGTCCTGTAAGGGGTAATTGTAAAAGTGACTGTACTCCTGGAAGTCTGGAATCTCCAAAGAGACACCTGCATCCTGTTAGGAGCAAAGCTTTTGTTTCCTGAAAGACCAGGAGGCAGGTAGGAGATAGGGATAATTCTAGAGTTTTTGGATTTGTGGGAAAGACAGCTACCTTCGAGGCATGCTGTTTTATTACTGTCTGCATTGAAGTGATATGATCAGGACCCCCAAGCCTATACGTTGTAAATTCCTGTTGCATGCTTTCTGTTTTGTGTCACTGTTAGCCCCTAATCATGTACTTGCTCACTGTCACGTAGCTTTTGATTCTCTTACTATAAAAACCCCACGATTATTTTATTCAGGGTGCTTCTTGCTTATGGCAAGAGGTTGCCCCTTGGACTAGACAATAAAATCATCTCACTCACCTTGGAGTCTCACTCAGATCATTGAAGCCCAACACTGCACATACACATCAGATGTTCTTGGGAGCCCAGCACAGCTGAGACTGGCTTTGGGAGCCTGACAAATGGCTTTCCCACTATTGATTCAATCTCCCTTTGAATCAAGTAGGAGAGACAACTTGTGCAGATACATTGGACACAGTAGGTGCAGGGGTTGGTCTGCAGCTCAACTCTAGGACTCAGAAAGCTTAAAGGAACCAGAAGAGGGGAGAGGAGGCTGAGAGGAGGGTTGGGAAGCTACCTCAAATCTGGCCATGAAATCCTTCAGGTTTGGGAACGCATCCAGGCAACCAGGAGCAAATATACGGTTCCCATCCAAGACATCATAAGCATGGAAATCAGCAATGGTGATCTGTTGAAGCCAGGAGGAGAGAGCTCAGGACCAGAGGAGACCGACCATGCCCCCTGCTCCTGCCTCCCTCCCTTTCTCTGCCTCACCTTGTCCCCTGCAAACCAGGGCCGCTTCCCCAGGAACTGGGAGTACAGTGTCAGCTTGTCTGGGAGGCCCTTCAGATAGTCAGGCTTCAGCTTCTCCTGAAGGAGCAAACAACTGTCAGCACCTGCAGACACAATTTCGCAGGACAGGGTCTGCCTGCCCAGGGCTGCACATGGCCCCGCTGGCCAGGGGAGCAGCCATCCTCACTGAATGTGGCACAGGGATGTGTACAGTTCACAAAGGATGAGAATGTGATATGAAAGGATGGAGGGAAAGGAACCCAGGGCCTCGGGCTCACCCTGGGCTGCCTATTGAGGAAATCTGCTTATCCCTGCGGGGGCACAGCGAGAGCCCTGGGAAACAGGGCCCATGCCTGAAGATGCTCCCTTCTAAAACTATGATATTTATGTACTGGGACTCTGCAACCAGCTACTGGCATATATTGGAACCAGGTGGTAAAGATGACCATGATGTAGCCCAAAAGTGATTCTGAAGAAAATATCCTGTCTTAGAACTGATTTTTAACAAAGATATTTGGTATATGTCTAAGAGATTGGAAGTCAATTCTTAGATTTCACAAGATTTAAAAGACCACAGAATCAATGTATTGATAACATGAAATTGCTTGAAGAATCAGTGCTCCTGGGTGGTTCAGGAGTAGTGCAGATATGAACACAAGAGGTTAATTCCTCATTGAAACTGCCAGGTTCTGTCCAGTGGGGGCACTCACAAAGTCAGGGTTGTAGCAGATAGTGCCAAGTTGCCAGCGGTTGTCCATAGCCTGGTTCTCCAAAATGTCTACACGAATCTTCTCCTCTTCCGTCTCCCCACCTGCAGCACACACAGCAGACACCCTCAGCATCCCACCCAGCCAGGCCCAGGGCACAGCCACAGCCCAACACCCTCAGCCAGCCCCACTCACACAGGTTGTGCTTGCGGCCAAGATAGCGCACGATGGCATTGCTCTGGGTGAGCCTGTGAGTGCCGTCAATCAGGTAGGGCAGCTGGGGAGGGAGGAGGGAAGTCAGCTGGGATCCCAGGTGCCCAGCATCCCCTGCCCTGGGCAAGGGCAGACAGGGGACCTGGCACCCTCTGTGCCTGTTCCATGGCAGGCCCCAAATATATACTCCATACAAGGAATGGGTAAGCCCAATGGAAAAGCCTTATAGAGAACCAGGAATGACAGCATCTGAGTACAAGATTCTGGTCCTGAAATCTTTAACCTTGGGAAAGATGTGGAGGCAGAGACACATTGCACTTCCCCCTATGGTTCCCATCCGCTGCACGTACATTGGGAAAGTCCAGGTCCAGCTTGAATTTCTCACTCAGCCACTGGCTTCGGTCATAGTCGGGAGCTGTGGAGAAGACCAAGTGAAACAAAACCTCCCCAAGTATGCAGACTCTTTCCTGGGACCCTCCCAGGGAGTCAGGAGCAAGACCCCAAGACAAGGCATGTGGGATCTGAACCCGTCAGTTTCACATTCAAAGTCTGGGGGAAAAAAATGTGTATACATGCTTTAAACCTGACATACCTCTTGAAAAAATTGTTGAGAAGCCAAGCAAAGAACCTTACCCAATCAGAACCTGGGTTCCCCAGCAGTTTCCCTGCCATCCCAAACCGCCTAGAACCCAGAATGGGGGGACCTATCTGCACCCTCCAGGGACCAGAGTAGGGGCAGGCTCAAATGTTAGTCACGTTTGCCCCGCAGAGGTGAGAGCAGGAAGGAGCATTACCGTCCCCCATGGAGTATATCTTTTCCTCATAGCTGGTGTCCGTGTATTCCAGGAGCAGGCGGACGGTGTGAGCCAGCTGGGGGGGTCACAGGGGGCGAAGATCAGAGATAGTTCCCTCGTGCTGACCTCTTCAACTCCAGAGAACCAGGTACTGCATCTAATCCCCGCATCTCTCTCTCTCTCTCTCTCTCTCTCTCACACACACACACACACACACACACACAGACACACACACACACAGCTTCTACAAGACCAAGGCTTTCTCCAGTTTCCACAGTAGCAGCATCAAAATAGCCCCAGCTGCTCTGTGCTGCCCCCGCCAGCCCTCCTAACCGATCCCTCACTCACCCCGCGGATGTCCCAGTAACCCAGCGTCATGGGCATGGTGCTGATGGTGCTGGTTTTGGAGTCGCTCCTGCTCCTCCGCTGGTGTGGCTGGTGCTGAGGGCTCAGAGGGCTGCCTGGGCCTTCATCCGGGTCCTGGGACGAGGAAGAGTCCCGCCCCCGCCCTTCCCCTTCCAGCTGGCCTCTCCCCTCTGGCTCCTTCCGCCCCTCTCAGGTTTCTCTGTCTGCACACAGTTCCTCAGACAGGAAGCACTCTGTTCCCCATCCCTTGGAGCGGAAAGCTGCTGCTCATCCTGGACCCCAGTGTTCCCCAAGCAAGGTCGGGACGCTCCAACTCTCCGTTTCCCTAGCCCTCCCGAGCGCCCACCCTCTGCTGGGGCCTGGCAGTTGGCAGTGCCCTTGGCAGCCCAGCTAGGCCTGCAGACAGTGCCACAGCTCTCGCCCCTCCCCCGCAGGCATCCCTCTGTTCTCACTCCCTGGCTCTGGAAAGCTCCAGCTGCTGGCGCCTAAGTGGGGTGTCTGTAATGGAGCGCTCAAGTCAGCTCCCCATAGAAGAGCAGCATTGGGCACTTCCAGGCTCCTAGGCCAACAACCCACAGAGACACGCATCAGGAGTAGCAAATCCAGAAGGCAGAGGTCTGCCTGATCCGACACAGGATGGAAGGAAAAAAGTAAGCACTGTGCATTGTCCCTTAAGGGATTTGGGGAACCAGCCCTTGGGTCTTCTGACTGAAGCCTTCACCAGGTGGCGTTTTTCTTTCATCAAGCAGCTGGTGAATCTCCAAGAGGCCCACCTTGCACAGAGGAGGCATGGCTGAGGTGCAGCTCAGAAATGTCCTGTTGTCAAATAGGTGACCTCCTTGACCAGGACATGGCCTTGAAGGAGACTGAGGAGGGTTTGTGACCTGCTCCCACTGAATACCCAGGTGACACCCAAGCCACTCCCACTGAACCCAGCATGCTGAGCCTGCAGCACCAGCAGCAGCACCCCATGACACTGAGCTACTGGGAGAACCATGGGGTGAATGAGGGGCCCCCTCACAGGGCTGGTGGGAGCAACGCTGAGCAACTGGGGAAATTCTCTCTCTCTCTTTTTTAACATTTATTTTTATTGGAAAGGCTGATTTACATTGAGAAGGAAAAGCAAAGATCTTCCCTCTGCTGGTTCACTCCCCAAATGAACCAACTCCACAGTGGTTGGAGCTGAGCCCCCTCCAGGTCTCCCATGTGGATGTAGTGTCCTCAGGCTTGGAGACATCCTTTGGTGCTTTCCCAGGACATAAACAGAGTTGGATGGGAAATGGAACAGCCAGGACACACATGGCCACCTATATGGGTTTCTGGAGTTTGCAGACAGAGGGTTAGCCAGTTGGGCCATCACATCAGACTTAGCTGGGGTGATTCCTACAGGTCATTTCTGTGGAACCCAGAGGAAGCCTTGGCCTCACAGGAGCTCCCAGAGCACACCTACATGTGTGGGGTTGAGGAGTGGGTGGTGGCAGTGTTTGTGGTGTTTATTTGGTGCGTTCATCTAGAGGAGATAAGGACAGAATCTGGTCACTTTGCCTTTAACCTGTGCTAGTTCATACACAGACACCAGGACAAGAAGTACACTGTGGGGGATGGTAATGCACCTGCCTGCACTGACCTCTGCCCTAATGCATAGGGTCAGTGTGGCCTCCCAACACAAGGGCACTAGGCACTGTGCTGTGTCTGTGATGGGCTTGGGTTCTTCCTAAGTTTCCCCACACTTCTTCTGAGCTTTTGGCAAGTAGGTTTCAGATCCCTTGCAACCATTCTGTTCCCTTGTCCTTGAATGTAAGATGAGGGGTTCAGATCCCACCTGCCCTATCTCAGGGTTATTGCCTTTGACTCCTTGGGAGGGTCCCAGGGAAGAAGCTGCACATTGGAGGTTTTGCTTCCCTTGGTCCTCTCCTCAGTCCGCAACTATGACTGAAGCCAGTGGTTGAGTAAGAAATTCAAGCTGGGCCTGGACTTTCCCAACATTTGTGCAGGAGATGGAATGGCTGAGGATGGATGTCCAAGGTTTCTCTGCGTCCATTTCCTTTCTCTGGATTAGAGATTTGATATGAGTGCACCCTTCCCAGATAGTGGTGTTCTTGGTTGTCTGTGTTGATTTTCGATGGTGTTGCATATTGTGACCATTCATTCTTTGTTTTTCTTTTTCTTTTTTTTTTAAAGACTCATTTATTTTTATTGGAAAGGCAGAAATACAGAGAGTAGGCTTTTCTGTCTGATGACTTACTCCCCAAGTGAGCACAACGGTCGGTGCCGCTCCGCTCCGATCCGAAGCCAGGAGTCAGAAAGTTCCTCCAGGTCTCCCATGCAGGTGCAGGGTCCCAAGGCTTTGGGCCGTCCTTGACTGCTTTCCCAGCCCACAAGCAGAGAGCTGGATGGAAAGTGGAACTGCCGGGATTAGAACTGGCACCCATATGGGATCCTGGCATGTTCAAGGCGAGGACTCTAGCCACTAGGCCACCGTGCCGGTCCCGCCATTCATTCTTTGTACAGTGTCTCTAGGGCTTGCCCTGGACCAGGCACAGAGGGTGCCAGGGCTTCTATGTGCCCTTGTTCAGGGAAGGGGTGCTGAGTACCTGGGAGCCCAGGTGACTTACTTTCTTCTTTACTCTTTCAGCTACCCTGTTTGAATGCTGAGAGTCACTAAGATCACACAGAGCATTACCAACCTAAGCTATCTCATCCACAAACACAATCTGTGTGAGTGGGCAGGGGCCTGGCTGGGGTGGGATGCTGAAAGTCTCTGCTGTGTGGCCTGCAGGTGGAGAGACAGAAGAGAAGAGGTTCTGCATTTTGGAGAACCAGGCTGTGGATGGCTCTCATCAGTAGGTGGTTCTCCGATGCAGTCCTGACTTGGAGAATTTCTGTTGCCCCACAGAAGTTGGACCCAGGGTCAGGACTCTTAATTTCACATCTGCATGGCTCCTGTTTCTCATATAAACTCCACGAGGCTCTATGTGGGTCCCTGTGCTGCCACCAGTGACTGCCTAACCCCAGACTGCATCAGTGAATCCTCAGAGTCAGTTCCCACCATTCTTAAGATCGAATCGGTGCTCCAGCCTTGAACATTAAGTATCTAAAGAGTGAAGTCATATGTTCTGGCCAGCATTGTGTCACACAGCAGGCTCAGCCGTTATCTCCACGGCCATCATACCATGTGCGTGTGGATTCAAGTCCCAGATGCTCCATTTATTATCCAACTCCAAATAATGTACCTGGAAAAGCAGCAGTTGATGTTCCAATGTGTGTTCCCTGCTACACACATTGACCCCAATGAAGTTACAACTCCTGGCCTCCACCTGGCACAGCCTTGGCTGTTTCGGCCATCTGAATTATGAAACAGCATCTTTCCCTTTTTTTATAATGCTGCCTTTCTTTTGTTTTTTTTTCTTTGTGTATGTGTGTGTAAACTTTTTAAAAAATTTTATTTTAGGGACCAGCACAGTGGCCTAGTGGCTAAAGTCCTCGCCTTGAACGTGTCAGGATCTCATATGGGTGCCAGTTCTAATCCCGGCAGTCCCACTTCCCATCCAGCTTCCTGCTTGTGGCCTGGGAAAGCAGTCAAGGACGGCCCATTGCTTTGGGACCCTGTACCCGTGTGGGAGACCTGGAGGACGTTCCTGGTTCCTGGCTTTGGATCGGCATAGCATTGGCCGTTGCACTCACTTGGGGAGTGAATCATCGGATGGAAGATCTTCCTCTCTGTCTCTCCTCCTCTCTATATATCTGACTTTGTAATAAAAAAAAATAAATCTTTTACAAAAAGTTTTATTTTAGATGATGCTTACATAGTTGATCAGGGTGGAAAGAATCAAGAGTCAGGGAAAAGTGGGTATGATCATTGTTCCCAATTTTCCCATTTCTTTTTCCATATCTGGGGGTAGGAGGCAACCAGGGGAGAAGCTACACCCAGCTTCCCAACTGCCCACACCCAGGGACGGAGAACAGCCATCCAGTATTGACCCAGGGGACATGCCGAGGGTTCTGCCCAGGTGGTTTCAATAGCTCTGAAATGTTGCCAATCCAAGGATGAGGGAATACTTTCAATGTCCATTGATTGACATAGTTGACCTTAGAGTCTCCATTCGCCTAGATATTTGCTGTCATTGTTGGGCTGGGTTAATTGTGCAATCTGTTCTGTTCTCTTTCATCTACTATGATAATAGATGTCTTCTGAAGGCAGCAATGGGCTGCTATATCCTCTATGCGGAGCTGGGCCAGCCATGTAGTACTCTGTCTTTTCCACTCACTAGGACCAGTTCTCACAGGTGGGCCCAAGAATCCAAGTCTGGAGACCAGACCATGCTGAATCCCCGCTGTCCCAGGGGCTTATGGACCCGGCACCTGCCGTGCAGGCAGACTCATGGACCTGGGCCAGGTTTCCTGGGCCCTACCAGTCCCCCAACCCCAGGAACTCACAGACGCGGCACCCACTGTACATGCAGGCCCAAGGACCCAAGCCAGGCAACTTGGGCCCCACTGGACCCTCCACCCCCGGGACCCACATACCCAGCACCCATGTGCATGCAGGCCCAAGGACCCAAGCCAGACAACCTGGTCCCTGCCAGATCCACCTCCAACTCCCAGATCTCAAGTCCCTGCACCTACCACCCCCCGACCGTCTTTGCTTGCCTCACCTCAACATTGACCAGCAGGTGCTTCAGCCTGGCTAAGTTCACCCTGCCTCTAGTTCCAGCTCCTGCTGATTGGTGCGGCAGCCTAGTTCATTGCAGCCAGCCCCCTGTTATGGCCCAAATGTCAACTGGTTGGTTGCAGCTCAAAATAGCCCCTCTTGTAACCCACCCTGGTTCTCACATCTGCCAGTAGATGTTATGAACTGGCCCAACCTGGCCCACCCTTGCAACCTGACCCACACATATGCTGGCCGGTACTGTAATTTGGCTTGGTTTGGGCTGTTCTCTGCCTTGGTTCTAATGCTCACCTGCAGGAATTGTGTCCTGACATAGGACTTCCCTAAGCTCCTCTCTCAGTCACCTCCATGTGGCAGATCTTGTGCACTCTGGTAGATCCTTGG